GTACATATATATATATATATAAAAAAATAAAGCTCAGTATGAAATTGGATTTGCTTTATGTAGAAACTTACGCACAGAGAAGAGGGACGTTAGGAATTCTTTAATTTTGCATCCAAAGCCATAAGAACAACTGGAAACTGGATGCTGAATCAGAACAATTCTGTCTTTAATGTGCTGCAGCATAGGCCATTAAACATCCAAAACCTGCTGTGAGATACTGGAATCACAGGACAGCTCTCTGGGATCATCTTGGCATTGCCTGGACTTTTTCTGCTGCAACAGGGAGCAAGGACATGAGTTCTCCAAAGCCCTGGCTGAGGCATGCTATAGTTTTGGAGACCTCAATACTACACAGGGTTTTTTTGATAGTTACAGCATTGTGAAATGTTGCTCTCATGATATGGGAAGCACATATCCTACGGACTTGTCTGGGTAGATGTGTGTTGCAAGGTTTACCATTACTAGGAGGACTTGGAAGTGGTAACCTAAGCCGCCTCACCAGGGTCATGTGGTTGTTGGTGTCTGTCAAAAGTTAGCCACTTGTTTTTGTTAAAATAGTGTGAGGATATCCAGTCTAGCGATCAAAACCTAACACTTTTTTCCTGTTTCTGTCCTGTTTAACCTGTGGAAAGCCCTGATCCTTTAATGTACATCAGGTGAATGACTCCCAGGCGCTTGTGTGTGAAGTTGAGCTCTGCCCAGTTGAATGTTTCTCATTCAGTTGGTGGGAGTTTGGCTGCAGGGATTGGTTCATCTGCATGGATTGAATTGAAGAGCTGTTGCCTTTGCTTAACCAGTGTTGGTCTGGGTTTTCCTGTTTAATACAGTTGCTTAATGCACCAGCTCAAACGCCTTCAGCTGGGTCCTTGACTGCAGTCTCAGAAGTCTCTTTCCATTCCCTGGACACCAATAAGTGTTTCTGAGAAAAGAAATATGACAAGATTTCAATGGGTTTGATGCAAAATTACTTTAAAGGGATCTTTAAGTGAATACTAAAAATGTATTTTGGCTTTTTGTCTCTGCAGAGTTTACAGATGCTTCCTCAACAACGGAAAGCCATAGCAAAATTTAAGGAGCCAGCACATGCTTTAGCATTTCAACAGAAATTCCACAGGTAAATAATTAAGCGCTGCTGCCGCCTCGGTTCCTTCCCTCCCTTCAAAAGATTAAATCAGTCTCCTCTGCTCAGTGTTTCTCTTAAGCCAATCAAGCGTCTGTTTATTAGTGACCTTCATAGAACCTCTTTGTCTGTTTTCCACCCCTAGAATCACTTTGAGTACCAGGTTTAAATTTCTTTTAACTTTTAACAGGCACATGATAGATCTGTCCCACATAAACGTGGCACTGATAGTTGAGTGATGTCTGCTGAGAGAAACCCTGACACTAACAGAAGCGTACTGTGGAGCTACACAAGACACAGTGGCAAAACCATCGGGTCGTGAAACCTTTCAGCTTAGTCTTTAATTGCTATGTTGAACTACAGAAAGCAGCAAGATGTCCTCCGGAAGAGCTGAACTTGAGAGGCTCTGCAAAGGTGGAATTTCTGTTCGGTTTGTTCACGTTCTGTTGTAACCACGTGGAACTACAGATTTTTTTTTTTCTCAAAATGCTTTCAATGCATGTAGACACTGTTCTTCAAGATCCTACTGTGTGACCACAGTGACTTGAGGGAGAACGTTTACATTGAAAGATTTAAAAACTTTCTTCATAGCAAAGAATATTTGATAATGGTTGCTCTTATCTTCAGTGCGAGGTATTTGAATGAAAACTCACTTTTCTAAACAAAACACATTAGTTATGTTGTATATCTGAAAGCACAGAAGGTATTCTTGCATAGATTTAAACGTGGTCTACTTCACTGAATAGCGGTATGCTGAGAAGCTTTGGAGGTGACACTGGAAAATTGTAGTTTTGATCTTTGTAAATATGTTAAGTCTGTCTTTGCGTTTTTCTATTCCGACACAGACTTCCATCTTCTCCTTCCAACTCCACTTATTCCATAAAACCCTGTGTAGGAATAACATTGCTGTATTTTCCCTTGGTTTTTAAAAACAAGGATCTTTGCCCTTCAGTAGCATGGTGGGGTAGTGAACTCCAAGTTGTAACTAGGTTGTTTTAAATGACGTTGCCAGATACAAGGAAAAAGAAATATTTAGTGGCTCACTTCGAAAATGTTACACAGGAAGAGTGACGCATTCCTAATAGTTCTTTTGGGCTAGCGTTTCATGATTGCCTTATGCTTTATTTTGATTAGTTTTTTTTCTTTGAGATTTATTTTGTGATTAATGCTGAACCATCAGAAACCCATAACTGAAAGGACTTGGTTTGATGTGTTGTTCCCGATAAATACAGGTCTATTAAGACATTGTGAATCTGCTGGTGAACGTGGCAGTTCCCAAAAATTACGTGCAAACATTAAGGACCTTATATGTTATTCAAAGTAAAATCCATAATGTTTCCTTTTGGTTAGAACCATCTAGATGGTGTTGCCAAAGGAACAATTTTTTCAGTTACTTCTGAATAAACTTATTAAAATGTCATCTTTATATTGGATTCCAGTTTTTATGAACACTTCCTTAGTTTTTAGACTGTGAGCTTTTGCTCCATCCTTTATTTTAGGAGTACTCTTAAGCACTCCACCTACAATTTGAATGGGTGGACTTACAGAAACCGTATAGGTTTGTTACCTGAGTGACCGCAGAAGAACACTATTGGTATGTAATGCAGCAGCTGTGAATGGGGTCCAAAATAGGCATGCCAAGCGTGGAAGGATGAACTAAGCAAGTTTATAGTAGCACAGATTTTTTTTTTTTTTGAAGATTTACTGGTAACCAAGTCAAAGACTTAACTGGCTTTCTTAACAGTTTTGGTCCAGATTTTCAATTAAGTAGAAGTTACCAAAAATAATGGTTGAATAATAAATACTGTCAAAAGTCTTCTAGATAGAACAGCTCTTTGTTCATTGAAATAATAGAGAATAATGTGGTACTTTGGAAATATTGCACTGGGAAAAAATGTAAAGAATACTCTAAGCCCATTTACAACTTAGTGACGAGACACAGTAACATCATGAGAATTTTTGCATGGAAGTGAGTTTTACACCCTTCTGTGTTAGTTCCCCATTTATGCATAATATTTAATAATATCCAGCACAATTACTATACATAAAGCGCTATTAGTGCTTCAGGGTAAGACCCAAGCGCAGGACAGAGAATGAGCCGCAGGTAGGAAGTGCCCAGTGGGAGCCGACCCCGAAGACTCTTGCGAGCTGATCGCAGTGACTGGCTCTGCCACGTGCTGTTTAACTCCTCACACCGTGAGCAGTAGGACCCCTACGCTGCCTCCTCAGGTTATGTAATTTTTATTTTTAAGAAATAAACGCTTACCTTTAACACAAGTCATTAAACAGTTATTCATCCCACTGTTAGGGAGCAGCTTCTCCGCAATGAGAAGGATGGGAAGGCATCTCGGCGTGGAGCGATAATAGTGCGTGTCTGGAAATCTGGGTTAGATGCAAATGCCAGACAGGCCAGCAGCTGAGTTCAGCAGTAGGAACATCTGCAGTTGATCAGCTGTCCTGTCAGAAGCAAACGTTATTGGGGTTAGAGGGTTTCTTGGAGCCTAAGAATATGGGTTTGATTCAAAAGTCAAAGAAGTTTGTAGAAACGCTCCTGCTTTGGGTTTTGAATCCATCCCAAAGAGGCTGAGGTTCAGCCAACTTAAGTTTTAACAATTTTTATTCAGTTGGGTTTTTTAAAAAAAATTTTTGAGACAAACGTGTGGCTTTGGAATAAAGACATGAAATCGCCTCAGATCTGTTTAAATGTAGGAGGCAATGTAAGCAATGCCTGTTTAATGACTAGATGCATCCTCTTTAATGGCAGTTGCAGTAGATTATTGCTTGTGCATAGACAGAGTACGGGCGGATCGCTGGTGGTGATTTTAGCTGCTTATTGCAGTACCTGGGTATCTGACTATATGTAAACTTACTATATGTATGTATGTCTATATGCATTTTATTATACACATACATACATACTCACACCCTTTGTTGTCACCATATCTCTCTAATATCTTAAACTCAGTAGCAAAAGTAGCAATTAGGTGAGCCGTTTGTTAAAATGTTTGTGTTTTGTTAGTTCTCAAATCCTAACTTAAAAGTGGATCTCTTGGCAATGATCAGTTTGGATGATACAGCTCTTCTAGATCCATTTGTTGTCTCCTCCCAAAAAAACCCAAAGGAAGTAGAGGTAAAGCTAGACGGATGTGTTCTTGCCATGTTCTCTTTCAGCACATAGTTAAATCTGAGCATCTTAAGTTAACTTTCTTGGAAGATCTGTTGCAACCATTATCTTGTTCTTTCTTTATCATGCATTCAAAATACGATGCAAAATGCAAAAAAAAAAAAAAAAGGCATTTAATGTAATATGTAAATATTGACCTTTTAAAATTAAAATGTTACTCAAAATGCTTACAGTCAACCACATCTTAGCTACTTGTTAGTTTTTTGTGTTGTCTTATCTAAGTTTAATGGATACAGTTCCATAAATGTTGATGTGTTTTTGTGTATATCTTCAAATTTTTATAAAGATGCTAGTAAGTCAATACATATATCCTGATCTGTGTATTATTTGTTCACAGTTTTTATTACCATAATTTTATAATGATTTTAATAGGCAACTCCAGTAGGTGATTATATGGAGCCAACTTTTTTTCCCCAAATTATTTTGTTTTCATCTTGTAGCACTGGAGAATTCACTTTATAACTAATCATATTTTGCCTTGACTAAAAGATTGGATTGGCCATATGATCTGTGGTATTTTAGTAGAATGTTCTACTTTTTTTAATTAAAAAAAAAAAACCTCTGTCCTTTAACTTTTGAGGGGAATATTAAAAAAAAAAACAAACCTCTGTCCTTTAACTTTTGAGGGGAAATACAGTGCACTGTCAGACCAAGGCATGGGGTTTCTAGGTTTGTTCCATTGTGCTGTACCAGTACAAATTAGGTCTGTCGTGTAATATTGTTCTCAAAAGTTTGGGATATTTTGGTTTTACACGTAATTCAAGTTGGTCGTGTAACACGTTGGTTCATCACAATGTTAGCAACTGATGTGGCACATATACTGTATGATGCAACGATGTGCAGTGTTCAAAAAGCTCGGTATAATTGGTGCTAGGCAGGAGGAGGACAGGTCCGTAGCATCTTCGTAGAAGATGGAGGAGCTGCCATGCAAATGTTTATCTCTAAGTAGTGGTAGAGAATAAATTTAGACAGGGATATTGTTCTTGGCCCACATACGTCTCCAGTATGACTTTGGGAAAGAAGAGTAAATACTGGCACCCCCTCTGTAAAGTATCTTCCGATACCTAGTGTATTCCCCAGTTTAAATCTGAAGATTCACTTCAGATTTCCAAATTTCTGTAAAAAAAAAAAAAAGTCCTTCTAGCCATTAAAATGCCAAGCAGACTGAGCACTTTAGTTCTTTGATGTTAGGTTTCCACTGCAAGGATATAGATGAGAGATTTTTTTTTTTAAGAAAACTGTAGATTATTTCAGAAAAACCTTGAGGGTCTTCATCGTTTTTTCTTAACATTATCTAGCTACTTGGAATAAGAAAAAAACTTCTACTTCATGCTGAATTTTTTATATTTTTTCAAACATAGTATCTTTTATCTGTTTAGCTTGAAATTGTGCAATTTTCCTGGAAGCTGCTGTAGGCGCTTCCTACCGTTACACACAGTAACTGCGTGTCTGTATGTGTGTGTGGGTGCGTTGCCCTTCTAGCTGGGGTGAGAGGGTGGGCGGAGGGTGTGGGGTTTCATTTCTTGGGGTTTTGGGGGGGTTTTTTTGCCTGTTTTTTTGTCTAACTCGGGAGATATCCTGGATTTGTTCTCTGGCGTAGTATTGTGTTCCTGTCCTTCACGTAGTGTTTGTTACGTGAGTGATGATACTCGAAGGTAGAAATCTGGCTTCACCTGTTCATTGTCAAAAAGGCATTTTTGTTCAGAGAGACACAAACCTTTTTTTTTAATTATTTTTTGTGCTTTTATTTTTTTTATCAGCATGTTGGATGAGAAATTAAACGTGAAGGAAAACAAATACTGAACAGGTTGCAGAAAGTTAGCTATATTATAAAGGTCATTTAGGGTAACATAGGGCTTTTGTTTCAATGTTACCTTAAATCATGCCTTAACCTCCAATTAATTCATAAACGTAATACTTGAAAGTATTTTATCTTCAATTAGTATCAAATCCTAAGGATTTTATGTAAGGTTTTTTTGTAACCTGATTTTTAATCTTGGAAATGACTTATTATACACATGAGCACAGGGTCTTGTGTACAAAAACACTGATTCATATTGGATCCTTACGTATACCATCTTCTGGTATAATATGGTTGGGAAGGATCATTTTGTTCTTTATGACGCTGCTTTTTGCAGGGTTGGGGGTTTTTTATTAAAAAAAAAACCAAACACACCTCTGTTTTCTACTCCTGTGCTTATTTTGGTGGAAAGTATCGTCCTTATTGCACTAAAGAAAACCTCAAGGGGGAAGTTAATCTCACTGAGTCTTTTAGGTGCCTGTGTTGCTTTCTCATTTCTTGGTTGGATGCACTGATTTTTCTAACTAACTGGAAATGGGCTTTATAGGGGCTTTATATAGACACTGTTTTTCAACAGGTTACACTGCTTTTCTTTAATGTAACAGCACTCGGGTTAAGCGATTTTTACCATCTAAATAATTTTAAATGGTATTACAGATTAAGACTATTTTTGTGAAGGAACCTGTGTACAGTTAAATGTAGCTGTATTGCAATGTTGGGTGTAGTCACTTGGAAGATCACAATGTAAAACTGCTGTATTAATGTTATGTTCGTTCAGTGGTTCAGGATTTTCTTTGTATGCATCTAATGGTTTTTAATATGCACTGTATCTTTTTCCTAGTGTCTGTCAGGCTGACTTTGGAACCTTACAGTTTTATTTCTATTTATATAGTAACAAAACCATTTTTTTGCAGGATTTCTTTTTCAGATGGGGAAACATCTTTGAACGGTTTAACTTCTAATTAGTACACATTTTCACTTACAGATACAGCAAAACCAAGGTGCTAACTCTCATTTATTCACAGCTTATCTTCCATACCATTGCATACAATTTTTATTGATAGAAAGTGCCCTTAGAATAAGTCAACTTCCTTTTTTCCTGTGGTGCCCTTTGCCTCTGCCCTACGCTTTACCTCATTTCCATCTCATTTGCCCCCATTTTTCTATTCCCACAAGGATTTTTGTATCCTTGTTACGTTCCTGCTCTTTTTACTCTCTCTTCATCTCTCCGGACTTTTCCCTATCTGAGTGCATTGCATTCAGTCTTTTGCTCTATTTTCTGTTCTTACAGCTCTTTTGAGGATACCTGAACCCTAGATCTCCCACCCTGAAAGCACATCGTACTGTACTTGTCTTTGCAGACTTTGGTACATAAAGTTGAGGTTGCTTTTACAGGTATCACACCTTAGGAGATGCTGCCCATCCCAAGGCACTGGAGAAGCATCACTTAACAGTTTTGCTTTGCAGTTTTACCCATGTTGGAGAATTAAAACATTTTGTTTACATGCTCTAGCATTTGTGGCAAGCCAGGCGAAACGGGATTAACAACTCCTTTATCCTTTTCACTTTTTCAGGAGTTCTGTTCTTGAATTCAGTGATAGTAATAGCACTTTTTTTTATTGCCACGTAGAAATACGAACACTGTCGACACGATTCTACCTCCTATTACTATTACTGAATGTGATCCTTCCTAACCTGTAAAGTCTTAAACACTGTATATGTTTGGGTGTTTTGAGAATCACTTCAAATGTATTGCTCTAATCTGGATTACAGAGTTTGTTTATTAGCAGTTCAGGATATAAATTCAACAGCCGACTGTATCATACTGACTCCACTGGGAGTTCGTCTGCCTCATGTTTTCTACAGCATCATCTACACAAGGTGTTTGCTACTAGTTTCTTGAATGTAAAACTGAACTATACCAAATCCTCCGCTTGCATAAGAGATCTTTCTGTCGTACCTATTTAAGTGAATGTAAAAATGGAAACACAAAGATGATCTCATGTACAAGTTTTTTACATGTAATTCCATGTTTAAAAATGTCAACATGTAAATATATTTATTGTACCTAAAATATGTCAATAAAACTTGATCTTCATCATGCTTCCTCTGTTGTTGCTTGATGTGCAACTTGAACATCAAACTTGTCAGAAAAAGCTTCACATACCGTATTATTTTACCATTTTTATTATGGTAGCATCTCTAGGCCCCTACTTTTACATCGGCATCGTAGATGGGGTTCTTTGAGCTGTGCAAAGGTGCCCCAGATGGAAAAAGAAGTGACTGAGGATAGGTGATGGTAAAAGGGGCTTGTGCTTGTGTGGCTGGTTCAAAGGGTCTGGAGGCTAACAAGGATCTCCTAACATAGATATAGGAGGAAAACTTGTAAGTGTAAAAGCTTTTCTGCTTCTTTTCAGCCGTACTGACATGTCTAATAAAAGATCTCTACTTTCAAATATTGCCTGTCTTAATTTATGGCATAAAGGGGAGCTCTCAGCAAGCTCAGTATGGTCACCATCAATTATATTCTGAACACAATTATATCAACACAAACGAAGGCTAATTCCACTGGCATATTATGTATCAAGAAAAAAGGTCAGAATTGGCTGCCTTGCACTTCGTAAGGGTTTTTAATAGTTTGTTAAAATTATTCACAAAGTTAAATGTAAAAAATCCCACTTTTGCCCTGGTATCACTTGAAGTGGCTACCTGTGATCCAGCACGTACATCTTCAGTGAAGCATTAGTAGCATGTCAGATCATGACTGGGGGTAGATCTCAAGAGAACATTGTTACCTTGGGGCAGACTGATGATACTCCAAGTTGTCAATTATTCGCAAAGTTAAATGTAAAAAATCCCACTTTTGCCCTGGTATCACTTGAAGTGGCTACCTGTGATCCAGCACGTACATCTTCAGTGAAGCATTAGTAGCATGTCAGATCATTACTGGGGGTAGATCTCAATAGAACATTGTTACCTTGGGGCAGACTGATGATACTCCAAGTTGTCCATTTCTGCTTGTACCCTGATAGAGGACATATTAGCGACCAGCAACACAGTGACCTTAGAAAGCTCATTGAGGTAAAAAAAATGCCTCTGATACAGCAATTTTTATAGTGAGCAATGTAAGAATAACCATCTTTGCTGACAAAGTTCCAACTTAGTTTTCAATTTGTGATTTTGTTTTGAATTAACAAAAGGAGCACGCTGTAAATATCCATCTGACTGCAGTGTCACCTCTTCCACATCTCCTCCTTCACAAAAAGCTCCAAACAAAAGTACACCTCACCAAAAACCTTCAAAACCCAAACCTGATGAGTTACATCTCCTTGCTTCTTTGTACCTTCTTTCCCTGCCTCTGTTGATCTGCAGTCTTGGGGCACGAGTTGTGTTTTAGCGAAGTTGATGCGCTACTGAGCACAACATCCACTCTTGCAATAAACTGAACAGGTTAGCCCATCGCACAGCACGGGGGAAAAACAATCTCCCTTTTTGAGACCAC